TCTTACTTGGGTAAATTTTGTCAACGTTAAAATACTTTGTATTCACATAAAAAGGAATTATTATGTTATTATTATTATTATAATTATTCTGGTGTTGTATGTGGTGCAGAAACTGAACCAATAATTGTGGGGGAAATGTAGTCTCAATGCAAATAATAAATGGTCCTAAAAATAGGTTTAAATTTTAATACAAAATCATTTATTTTATTTGATTTTAAGGTCAAATTGTGACACGGACATTTACTTATCTAGAGGTTACCACTGTAAAGCTGCTTTGAAACAATCTGCATTGCGTTAAGCGCTATATAAACGAAGGTGCCTTGACAGAGTTCAGGTGGTTCACTGTCTGAGTCCAACAGGTGTCCCTGTCTCGGAGACTCTCTGTTCCAGTTTGAACTGCTGGTCCAGATGTGAACCGTGGCTCTGGAGGCATCCGACACACTCTGCCTTCCAGCTTTTGGCCTCCTGACATCTGAGTATCACGACAACCCCCATGATGGAAAACACATGCAGGGCGGACAAGGTCCGTGAAGGAGAGGAGAGAGAGAGAGAGAGAGAGAGAGAGAGAGAGAGAGAGAGAGAGAGAGAGAGAGAGATCGGACAGAGTCGTTTGAGTTGCTAAAGCCACACCACAAAGAACGTCTTGTTTCATTGATTTCCCAGAAACGGCATCAGCTGTCTAACAGGGTCAGCGAAAAACGACAAGAAAAAAGGAAAGGAAAAAACTTCCAGTCCCAAAAATCTGTGAAATTTAAAAGGACATTCTGTCTCAACAAGTGCTCGTAATCAAAAGTGTTAGCTAACAAACCCAATATTTCACACCAATGACATTACTTTATATTAGGTGTCTTTAACTAATAACTATTTTTAAACTTTTCCTGCTTTGGTTTGGTGGTATGGGTAGGTTAAGGTTTAAGGGCGGGGTAAGGGTACTGTAGGTGTCGGGTCAACAGCATCATGACAGATGTCAATTCCAAAAAACAAAAAAAAACAAAAAAAAAAATCAATATAAGTACAATGTAAAAAAACCCCCCAAAAAAAACCATGCAATTACACAATAAGTGCAATTTAAAAGTTACATAGTAATTAAACACTAGAGCCAGACCGATATATCGGCAGGCCGATATTATCGGCCAATATTAGGCATTTTCTAAAATATCGGTATCGGCAGTTATAATGGGCGATAAATGAAAATTTCAAAAATAAAATAAAAACGGACGAATCACGCAGCTTATAACTATAAGGCAATATAGGTCTAATTATTATTTTATTTATCAGAACTTTAATATATTTTGATGGTTCTCTGTTCTGTTGTGACAATAGAAACAAGTTTCTTTTTAAAATGCATTAATATATTATTTTAGTTAAATCTCATAAAAAAAACTACAAATAACTAATGTTAGGGAAATCTGTCAATATTTTGTTGTGCGTTTCTGAAATAATAATAATAATAATATCGGCCGAGATATAACGGAATATCGGATTTTAAAACCAACAAATATTTGTATTGGTATACACTATAACGTGGGTCCATATGTGTCACTTTTGCTTCTTATGTTGAATATCTATATACCATATCATAAAGACACAAAAGGACATTTGTATATTTGTCTGAGCTCTATGTCCCCTAGGGCTGTTGTGTAGCAGAATCGACAATAACTAATACTACTCTTCTGATAATATCTTTAGAAAAACATTTTTTATATGTACATTTTTTTAGAGATAATATCATTAATGTGAATTGTTTTGCTCACAATAATCATATAGCGAAAATCTAATTTTTGTGACTAATTTTTGTAACAATGGTAGGTTGAAACTTGATTCTAATGTTCCCCAACTTTATGAGGCAAACTAAGCAATACATTGAGCACAGGTTATTTCTAATATTTATTTTACAGGCTAGGGAGCATTTGATGACACGCCTACGGTGGCCCAGTAGTGCACAACACAACAAAATTTAAAAAGCAAACACAAATTCACAACACAACAGAAATAAGCCACAACAAATCAACGTAAAATCTACAACACAACGAAATAAAGCCGCAACACAACGGAAATGCCCCCGACCACTAGAGGGCTCTCGGAGCGCGTTAAAGTTAGTTTTCCTTGCCATTGCTGTATAGTCGGTAGTCTTAGGGGCCATTCACATATCGCGCCTAAAAACGCGTAGAAAACGCTAGGCGCACGCGTTCTCCTTTTTCCAAAGAAGCGCTAGGGCGGTTGCACTCCGGAGGCGTCTGTCGTTGCTAAGCAACCATCAGCTGCGCTCTCCATTACATGAAGGAAATTTCAGCAATGGATTTCCACCACCGAAAAACCCTTGCTGTAACTCTGTTACAAGATTTATTTACTCAGAAAAGTAAAAAAACGCCGCAGTGTTTGGGTGCACCCCATACTACAAAAACGCAAGAACCATGGGGAATTTCACCAGCTGATTCAGGAACTCCGCCTGAACAATAGGAGGTTCAAAGCCTATTCCAGAGTGGACAAGGACCAGTTTGATTATATTTTAAGAAGAGGTAACAAAAATGGCGAGGAAGCTGATTGGTTGGTTCGTGTCACGTGACCTACGGTGCGCTTGCGGCATTCTGAAAAGTTGAGATGTTTTTATCTCGATGCGGCGCGGACGCGCCTGGAAAAAACGAGCGCGTCGCACCGCGACCGCGTCGCTTCCATTATGAGCGCGCATACCGCGCGCCTACATTTGAAATAACGAACTTGAGCGCGCAAAAGACGCGATATGTGAACCGGCCCTTAATATACCAATACCACGATTGATTAAAAGTATGCAACCATTGTATATCGACATAAAATATACTTCAAAATCACCTACATGAATTACACCTGCGTATTTATACTCGAGAATGATTTGACGCGCTACCACAGCGCATGATCCCTAAGGGAATGTCTGCCAATTCCACCACGTGGTTAAAATTTTCTTATAATATTAATTTGAAAAAGAAAAAGGAAAACTATTTGGTGAATGGGCTTTATGCACAGTTGCACTACTTCCTGAACTTAAGCTAGCTCCTTGTTGTCTGCCATTATTGGCCAAATTGATTAATTCAGGTGTGCCTGACCTCAGTAGTCACGGCAACAATAATCAGACACACCTGAATTAATGGATACCTGGATACCATGGCCAGATTTTCGCCTCATTTAGGGAACCAATCACAGAACGGGGAGGGAGCAGCAAGACGATGACGACATCTATGTGACACACCGAAGCAGCTTGTTTATTGCTATGAATTCAACATGGCAGCAGACGCGAAGCTACCTTTTGATGCAGCCTTAGATATTGTTCTAAGTAGTTTCGAATATAAGTTTATTTAGAAAAAAATAGCCGCTTTTGGCGTTAAACTTCGCGAGACCCCAGTCGTTATTGTTGTCTCGCCATTAATCGCCCTAATGGAGGACCAGGTACAGGAGGCGGCCGACCTTGGAATATGTGCCGCTCAGCTGTGTCCAGAGAAAGAAAATGCGATAAAGAATTGTCGATACCAACTTCTGTTCGGCAGTCCCGAGGCCTGGATGAGCGCAAAGTGGCAAGACATGTTAGCCACGGAGTTGTATTGTACCAACCTGCTAGGCATCGTCATCAACGAAGTCCATTTAACTTATAAATGGTAAATGGTATTTATTAATATCATATTGTCATTATGCCTGTAGACTACCTACTGTGGTTGTCACAATGCCACTAAGATGTGTTGCTTTTCAATATCAATATGCAGCTACCGCTTTAGTAGCATAACTTTCCGCTGCGCACACGTACCCGATTAAAGTTGTTGACAACTTTAGTCATTAAATTAAATTTTTACATTATTTTAAACTTGTGAAGTACAAGCGCAAACAATTTCCAATGCAAATAACAACTTCAACATCTATGTTAAACTGTACTTGTGTATTTCTAATTGAAACGATTGGCTATGAGCTACGTACAGGCGCATTTGATAGGCATTCTTAGCACCCAATCAACGGTGCCGGGCATTCGTAAACCACGCCTCAAATACGGGAAATTGAACATGTGGTTCTCAACGAGAATTGGGTCTGGCGTTAGCCAGGCTAGGTACTTTCGCCTATAATAAGTCAGGCTGGTTACTGGGAACCTACGAGCTTTGGGGCATGAAAAAAAAAAAAAAAAAAAAAAAAAAAAACTTAGGTGAATTGCAGTAGTCCTAATATTTTTATCAATGTAAAATGTACAATGTTGTCAATGTACAATGGTTCATACTGTTAAAACTAATCGTGGTGTTGATATATTATTTAGACGGCAAGGAAAACTAACTTTAACGCGCTCCGAGAGCCCTCTAGTGGTCGGTAGCATTTCCGTTGTGTTGTGGCTCAATTCCGTTGTGTTGTGGATTCATTTAGTTGTGCTGTGGCTTAATTTCGTTTTGTTGTGAACTTGTGTTTGCTTTTTAAGTGTCGTTGTGTTGTGCACTACTGGGCCACCGTACATGTCAGTCAGCCAGCCGAGTTTTTCACCAAAAAAATACACATTATTAGATCAGACTTTCATTTGTCGGTCATTGGCAAAAGCACAATATTTAGTACCATTGGAAAATGAACATTCGGTCATCATTTACTTGCGCTCATGTCATTCCAAAACAATTTTTTGTCCATACAATGAAAGTCAATGCGGTCCATTGTTGTTTAGTCTAAACACTCGACAAAATGTGTTATGCGGGAGAATGAAAGTCATAAAGGTTTGGAAAGACATGAGGTTGTGGTGATGACAGAATTTTAATTGTCCCTGAAAATGGTCATCAAGGATCATTAAGTTTTTATAAGGGTTTTTATCACTGATCAGGCCAACAGAAAATCATGACAATCAACAAGGATTAGCATGTAGCGCAAATCATCTGTGGATCATTACACTCTCAGGGGACATGTCAACAACGCAACACATGCTAGTCAGAGCACTACAACAACACCCTCATGCCATTTCATCATACTGTGGGTTTAGATTAGTGGCAGTGTGGGAAACGGGGGTCAGCCGATCAAGAATGGGACTGTGGGATTTGAGTGGGGCGGCAGGATGTGGAAGAATTAAATGACTGGATCAAGCTACTGGGCTGATTGGACTCCAGGAACTCGAGAAGGGAGTACTCACCCACCCGCGGGTCCAGCCATGAGGTGCTCTGGGTTTTGTGGTCAATGAAGTATGTTTCTCCCTGAGGGGTGACAGCCTGCTCCCAAGCCTCGGGCAACTGTCCTGTTCAGCAACAGCACAACAGCTAGAGATCAGCCGGCAGCCTGACCCACTCCCGAGCGGTGACCACAGAAGAGTTTACGCCACTACTTAATGTGCAAAGCAGCTTGTCACTGGCGCAGGACCCTCAAGGAACATGCGTGTACCTTATTTACCCCTAAAAGGGACATACACCTTAAGGGTACATAATACAGATAAACACCTAGTTAAGGGTACTGCCCCAGCGCCAAACTGTTGTGTGCAATTTCTTAGGGGTTTGAGTTTTTAATCAAAATGTAATGACTTGTGTTGTGTTGGCCCTAAAATGTATTGGCTTTTCTGTTAATGTAGCCAGGGTCAAATAGCAGTGTCCAATATTATAAAATATAATACAGACCACTTTTCAAGAACCAATCAAATCCAAATGGATGTGAAAAAAAAAACAAATCATACAATTTTAAGGAAAAGTTTAAATGTACTAACTTTTTCAATTATGTCATGAGGTGTAACCAAGTAAAAAGTAATACAATTCACTCAAAAAATATTTTGAAAGGAGTAGTTCACTTCACCCCCATGTCATCCAAGGTGTTCATGTCATTCTGTCTTCAGTCGAAGAGAAATTAAGGTTTTTGATGAAAACATTCCGGGATTTTTCTCCATATAATGGACTTCAATGGGAACCAAACGGTTCAAGGTCCAAAAGACAGTTTCAGTGCAAACTTTTCCAAAGGGCTTTAAACGATTCCAGACGATGAATAAGGGTCTTATCAAGCAAAACGATCGCTCATTTAATAAATAAATTTAAAAAGTTTAAGTTTTATAAGCATAAATGCTCGCCTTGCTCTGTTCTGTAATGAGCGTTCGTGACTCTCCTGTTCGAACTCGTTCATCAAAATCTTTTTTCGAGTCATGACTCGAAGGGTCCTAGATAAGACCCTTATTCATCGTCTGGAATCGTTTAAAGCCCTTTGAACAGTTTGCACTGAAACCGTCTTTTGGACCTTGAACCGTTTGGTTCCCATTGAAGTCCATTATATGGAGAAAATCCTGGAATGTTTTCATCAGAAACCTTCATTTCTTTTCGACTGAGAAAAAGGATGAAATTAACATCTTGGATGACACGGGGGTGTGTAAATTATCAGCAAAAGTTTTTTTTTAAAGTGAACTACTCCTTTAAAAGCAAGTTTTTAAAATCATACTTCATTAAGTTTTTGGTAAGTTGTGGTAGCAAGTATCCTTGCTTTGTCATATCTCTATGACATAATTTATGTAAGTTTAAAAACATCCTCATCGTTTAAGATGTATATTCACTGTATGAACGTATGTTGAAATACATTACACATTCATGCTGGGCTTAATTTCAGCTTAAGTGCTAAAGAAGCAGAACAGCTGCTTGTAAAGCCGAGTGTGATGCAATATGTCCATTATTTTCAACTGCAAGGAGAAAAAGATACGCAACAAACTACAGAGTTCAAATAAGAGTGGAAAAGACTGGGGAAAACAGGACCTTAGGCCCTCTATTAGAGTGTCAACGGTCAATTAGCTTTAATCCCTCAATTTTAAGGGGGGGCCATCGTGAATACACACAACAGGTGAAGGCTCGAGCTGGCCTAAACTAAGAATAGAGGAAATCTGTTGCCCCTCAAGTTCCCAGAGATTGAAAAAAACAGGGATAGAGGAAGAACAAGGCATTGTGGGATTGTAGGGCCCAGGTCTGACTCACGGCTTTCTATTGTGAGTCCTTTGAACTTGTTTAGTGAGCCAAAATGGATGACACAGTCATGTCAAAACACACACACAGAGAAAAAAAAAAGACTGGTTGAGTCATCGAAGATCGTGCAAGACAGAAATGAATGGTTGAGTTTACAGAAGATCAGGGAGGAAAACGACCGTTTGAACGAGTGCAGCAGGTTGGGCTACACACACACACACACACACACACACACACAGTTCATTACTTCAGGCTGAGCAGCTTTATTCACATCCAGTGTCATCATCAGCGCTTCCTCACACTGCTTGCTACGGTCACACTGGAAACTTTCTGATATTTTTTATTGCAATACACACTGTTTTTTTGTTTGTGGGCTTTTATTAAATATCTTTACTTCCTGTGACTGCAGACTAAACGTTGTGGTGTGTACTGTAACTCTATACGCTGAGATAGTCGGCGTCTACTGTATGTGCTGGAAGTGCTGGAAGGAAACTTTCTCCCTCCAAACTCTTTGGTCTCGTTCTTCTTAACCCCCACCCCCCTTCGCTGGAATCTGTGTCTCGGCTGCCAACAAAGCAGAGGCACACCTTTTTTTCCATTTCATCACAAATCAGGATTTGGAAAGAAAAAAAATAAAAGGCAAACAAAGCAAGCACATTTGGAAGTCATTTAGTGTCCTGACAGAGTCAGAGCAAACAACATGCAGACACTGAAGGAAACGTCTCACGTACAGTACGACAGCTTGAAAAGCCTTCATTCTGCCCGCTGGGAGACTTTCTTCACTAAATCAGCATTTGACCCCTCAAAAGGAGCACTCAGAGCCTCTGATGGACAGGCAGACTGATGTGACTGATATAATGGACTTCATTGGGAACCAAACGGTTCAAGGTCCAAAAGACAGTTTCAGTGCAAACTGCAAACTGTTCAAAGGGCTTTAAACGATTCCAGACGATGAATAAGGGTCTTATCAAGCGAAACGATCGCTCATTTAAAAAATAAATAACTAAGTTTAAGTTTTATAAGCTCAAATGGTCACCTTGCTCTGTTCTGTGATGTGTGACTCTCCTGTTCGAACTCTTTTTTCGAGTCAATTCATTCATTTCGTTCATTGAATTAACCAATTGACTCAAAAAAGATTCGTTCATTTTGATAAACGGAGAGTCACGAACGCGCATCACAGAACAGAGCAAGGCGAGCATTTGTGCTTATAAAACTTCAACTTTGTTATTTATTTTTTAAATGAGTCAAGTCAAGTCACATTTATTTATATAGCGCTTTTCACAATACAGATTGTATCAAAGCAGCTTAGTGATAACATGAAAGTAGTACAACACAAATGAGCGATCGTTTCGCTTGATAAGACCCTTATTCATCGTCTGGAATCGTTTAAAGCCCTTTGAACAGTTTGCACTGAAACTGTCTTTTGGACCTTGAACCGTTTGGTTCCCATTGAAGTCCATTATATGGAGAAAATCCTGGAATGTTTTCATCAAAAACCTTAATTTCTTTTCGACTGAAGAAAGAAAGACATGGACATCTTGGATGACATGGGGGTGAGTAAATTATCAGCAAAAGTTTTTTTTAAAAGTGAACTACTCCTTTAAGTAAATGACGCGGGGTGAGTTTGACAGCCCTGGTTTTGCACCTATTTGCTGAGTGTACATCAGATGCTGTGGTGGGTTACCATGGGTTCTCAGATAATGCCCTATAAAAGGGTAGAGGGGGTGATTTCGGAAAGCTTCTGAAGGTTTTTAGCAAGTTACTATGTGGTTTCATGGGTAATATGTGGTGTTATTCATGTATGGATTAAACTGCTTGATTCATATGGATTCATTTTACAACAACAATATGACCTTTTTGGATCTTTTTTGTTTTGGTTACTTGGACTTTCAATGGAGGGACAGAAAGGAACCTTTAAAGTTTCATTCATTTGGGTCTTAGATTATCTTATGGCCTTATGGGTTTGGAACAACATGACAGTAAATGATGTAACAAAATGTTGTTTAAATCTCTAACCCTAATATGAACGTAATAGAGATGCTTGCCTTAGCATACACCTCTAAAATCAAAAGAAGAAATATCGGCTAGCACATCAGAGCTATGATATTAGATGTGTGTGTGAATGTCATGGGTTGGGATGAACACCTTGGCAGCTGATTGAAACAGCTCAAGAGAACGCATGTTTTCATGTTGAGTAATGGGATGGCATTCACACTCACCGAGGTTGGGTTGAGAGAGGGCCATGGAGCGCTGCTGTATGTTGCCGTTAGTAGAGGCTTGATTGTGCAGACCCATCTGGGTCACCGAGGGGGTCAGGTTCTTCCTGGGGTCATGCCATGTGGTGATCTTCTCAATGTGGCTGCACAAGAAAAACAGCAAATGCTCACGTTAAACACACTTCTTTCAGTGTTCGGAAGGTCAAGCAAATCAGAACTACTCGAGGAACACTTTGGTGATTTTGCATGTTGGGCATTTTGGCCTGATCCTTCAATCTACTACAAAACCCATTTAGAAGGAACCCAACTATCTTTCAGAGGAAAACTTTTGATTTCTCGGCCGTGTCGAACTACAGTGGCGTCAGTGTTGGGGAAGCTCGCCAGAGCAACTAAAGGGGCATGGTTATGGGGTAAAAAATTTGATAAATATAAATATAAAATCAGTGCTTTGGAGGCTAGATTTTGGTGAAGGATGCTTGCCTGTGCCTTCCCTGATAGAATGCTAGTTTTAAATATGATCTGAAGGCAACCCGATCTCATGAGAAAACTTTGTTGTTTTATGAGTTGTTTGGATTCTTACAATTTGTACAAAAAATCCACCAAAAATAAAAAGAAAACAAAGCATGAAGGTCAACCCCTAAACCTAACCTTAAGAGAGGCAAGTGCAGATCACACAAATGAGACCTTCACCAAAACATAAAAGAGCAATACATAACAGTAATAGTAAAATGTAATAATTGCTGGATGCGAACAACATCGGTCCCGGAGAACCACAGTCCCGTAGCCTACATCAAGATGTTAGGTCTGGGAACTAACAATTGGCATACCTCAATCCGAGGGGCGGGATAAACGGTTGTCTTTCAATATCCCGTCTGCACGCCATAGGATAACACTAACCAGAGCAACGAATGGCTGTGGCTGAGTGAGTCCAATGCGTTTTCCCACCAGCGGAGCAAGTTGATATATTAAACTTTTGCTGTATCCAGTCGTCAAAACTCCGAACAAATCTTCCTTTAAGTGACATTCTCTTAACCCCAAGTCATCCAGAATTGCGGCCAAAGCCGATTCGAAAGACAGCTGTTCGCCAGCAGCATATTGTTTGTTTTCGAGTAGCAGGGAATTCACTTATCACGGCGCAGAAGCGTCACAACTCTGCCGTCATTGTGTTAAGCCCGCCCACCAACTCTATACACGATGTGATTGGCCTGATCAGAGTTTGGATTTTCCACTTCGAAAGCCAACGATGAGTTGCTAGACCACACTGGTGGCAAAATATTTTTTGCTGCCACTAGGGTGCGTCTAGATTTCTAGGCTAATGGTGCGTTCACACCGGACGCGAATAGCACATCAGCCGCGAATGATTTCAATGATAAGTCAATGCAAAGACACGTTACGCACGTAAAATATTCCCGCGGCGCGAATGAGGCGTAGACGCGAATACGCCTCGTTCGCGCGAATGATTTAGTGCTATTTGCGCATTCACGCGTTTGACACGAATTCGCGCCTGCCGCACGAGTTGAAAAATCTGAACTCTGGCGTCAATTTGCGCCGCGTTAACCGATCAGGAGCCTGCTGCTGTCACGTGGTGAAGGATCTGGATGCTTCAATATTATTATTTGGTAATATGGTTCCAATGCACAACAAAGCAAATATTTTATCACTTAAAACTATTTTTCAATATACGAGACATGTTCACTTTGTATTGAAGGTTATTTATTCCATATCTAGATTATTGGAAATATTATTATGATGTAAAGACATCCAACACACATGAGCATAAGTTCGTGTCTGGACGTGAGAGAGAGAAAAATCACAGGACAGGTTAATAACTTTTGGAGGCTGGCTCTATTTATCATCAAAATAAATGACAGATTAGATGAGGGCGAGGGTGATCCTCGCTCCGATGCGGGACAACAGGTCATCAAACTGGGCGCGGGACAGGCGGAAGTACCGCTGACAGAGGCCGTCATCCAGCGCAGCTCCTGGAGCGAGCAAATGGTGAAACTCACCAAACGGGTCCGCACAAATATGGCGACGATGATCCCCACGCCGCTGTTCTGCTCTCCAGAGTAAATACAGAGCGGTGACTCTCTCAATGAATGCTCGATCAACATAAAACAATGGCCGCCAACAGATTTCGATTCTGACGCGCGTTAATTTCGCTTCAAACTTTTGTTTTTACGCGTGTCAGTTTCACTCTTGACGCTTGAATCAACACAAAGTGGTCAAGCGTCAAACTAGACGCAGTAAATGCGTATTTGACGCGCTATTCTCATCCCAGACTGATCTCATGAAGTAGCGTGTGTATGACACGCCAATTCGTATTTCCATTTTTGGCGTGCTATCAAGACGCATAATCGCCTTTCAGCGTGTTTATGAACGCGTTGACTTAACGTTATATAAATATATGACTTACCTCAACCCCATCCCTAAACCTACCCGTCACTGGGGTTAATGGCATTTATGACTAGAGATTTGACTGCGTGTTCAGACACGCGGAATGACGCGGACGTTAATGGCGTAGACATATACGGATACACGCGGATAGCACAAAATGCGTGGAGATAACACGCCACCTGACTCGAAAGTGGCGTATATGTTTACGCAAAAGTCATGATGTCATGTTGCTCATCCGGTGTGAACGCAGCATTACAGTCCTGCAGAGTTTTGCTCCAACCCTGATCAAAAGAAAACTCACCTGCATCTTTCTAGTGATCCTTCAGACCTTGATTAGCTTGTTCAGGTGTGTTTGGCCACCCCTGTCCTTTACCAGCTTTCACTTTCCCTACAAAAATATTGAGCTCACAAAATGATTGAGTTCTTTGCGAGCAAACACAAAGTACCCGAAGGTTTTGCGAACTTGCAAATCTTCACATATTCGGGGGAACGCAAACGTTTTACAACCATAAACAAAAGCATTTTATAAGCAAAGGCAAAAAAGTGTTGTAAGTGAGCGCAAAATTCCTTGAGGGAACGCAAACACATTTGCAAGAGAATACTAAATTTTATTCAAACAATATTCGATTATGTCAATTTGGCTGATGGCATTTTGAACAGACACATTTAAACTAAATACAACCAACAATGCTCCTTTAAGTCAGCTACTCCACAAAGCCAGATGCTCAAGTGTTTCTCTCTGGTGGTCTGATGTTATTCTAACTCTTGTGCTAAAGATGCAAGAATCTGCCTTAAATGGTTCAACTCAAGCCATGGCTGGACTCAACTCAGCTGTTTGACCTGCAGTTGCCTCTAAACGTGAACAAACGCTGCGATTCGTGACTCAAGGAACAGGTGTATTGTGTTTCCCTCAGCTCGCCACTCCTCCACCCTCAGCGAACCCTTCAAAACTGCAGCTACACGAAATTCTGGATCCTCTGCATTTTTTCATGCAAGGCCACGAGCGCCAGCCAGGCGGTTGCTCAGTGACAATCCCAGTGTCCCTCAGCCAGTAAACCAGTTTAGCGTTTCTTTCATTATCGGGTGGGCTTTAGTGTCTAGTTCAGGGGTGCTCAAACCTGCTCCAGGAGATCTGATCTCAACCTTGACTGACATGAACAACCTCGATGAGCTGGTTCAGGTGTGTTTCAATAGAATCGGAAATGAGCTCTGCAGGAATGTAGATCTGCAGGACACGGTAAATGATGAATGAAATTCAAGTCTTGTACAGCATTGGTTGTGCTCCAAAATTTGGTTACCAGTTGACTTTTTTTATTGAGAGCTGATCACCTGCGATCATTGTGAAAAAGTTTCGCATTCTAAATTCAAGTTTGCTGAAATAAGACTCATGAATTCAAAGGATGCGACCAATAAAAGATTGCTATGTTGCACTATAAACACAATTTGTTACTATTTGTTACACACAGTGAATTTGAGCGTGAAGTCATACCAATTCTGCCCATTCTGTTGGTCAACATTTGCAACGAATTTGCACGTCCAACGTGAACACGAACAAAATCGGCGTTGGGAATCGCTCTGGAATGTGAAACACCAGAATGAAACTGCAGAGCAATGGTGTATACATGTGACCAGAGTAGACCTGCTGAAAACGTTTCTTCATGCAACACTGTAATAATATTTTTGACAAAGTAAGTTGATTAAAATCGTACAGAAAATATGTGGTCAACAATTACACTGATACTTTTAATTATGATCAAGCAATCAATCTAAAAATCTGGGCCTTGAGAGACTTGAGGGCAGCAACAGGTCTACATTTCACGCTGGTGACATATTTGCCCCTCATTAACGTATGACTCGGTTGGTTGCATTCTTTACGGGTATTTAAAAATGTTTTAATCAAAATATATGCCCCATCAACTCAACCTTTTTGGTTGTACACTTGTAAACTGGACCAAACATGGCAGTTTGTGGCCAAATGAGTCACAAAATACACAAAGCCTCAATAAGAGAGTGACTCACTGGAAGTATTCATGCACCGCTGGGAAGATTATCTACTTCCTGCTGATCTCAGGCCTCGCAGTGGACGGACAGGAAGACATGTGTCCACGCGCTGCCCTGACCTCTCGGCTCCTGTTTACAGAGCGTTTGAGATTATACTGTATATGATGAGGATGATTCTTTAATTTGGGGAACTTTTTAGTCCTGCTAAAGCTTAACATTTTGTTCTTAAAGGAGTAGTTCACTTAAAAAAAAAAAGCTTTTGCTGATAATTTACTCACCCCCATGTCATCCAAGATGTCCATGTCTTTCTTTCTTCAGTCGAAAAGAAATGAAGGTTTTTGATGAAAACATTCCAGGATTTTCTCCATAAAATGGACTTCAATGGGAACCAAACGGTTCAAGGTCCAAAAGACACTTTCAGTACAAACTGTTCAAAAGGCTTTAAATGACACCAGACGATGAATAAGGGTCTTATCAAGCGAAACGATGGCTTATTTTAAGTTTTATAAGCCCAAATGTTCGCCTTGCTCTGTTCTGTGATGTGCGTTCGGGACTCTCCTGTTCGAACACGACACGTTCATCAAAATTAACAAATCTTTTTTCGTGTCATTTGATTCATACAACAAACGAAATGAACGAGTTGACTCGGGAAAAGATTTGTTCATTTTGATGAATGAGTTCGAACCGGAGAGACCATTTGAGCTTATAAAACTTAAACTTTGTTATTTATTTATTAAATGAGCGA